TAGCTCCTGGCCCCCAAGCCACCCCCCCAAAACTCAGCTCGCTTGCTGGTGTCTCTGCAGCAGAGGCTATGGAAAGGGAGAGTCCCGAGAAAGTCCCCACAGGAGGCTGTTCAAACTTAGAGACGTGGTGTTACTAGCCAGTCGTCTGGCATAGCGGCCGCAAGGCTATTGTCACCATTGATTTTGAAAATGATGGTGGGGAGAGAAACCCTGGGAAGCCACCCCCCCAAAACTCAGCTCGCTTGCTGGTGTCTCTGCAGCAGAGGCTATGGAAAGGGAGAGTCCCGAGAAAGTCCCCACAGGAGGCTGTTCAAACTTAGAGACGTGGTGTTACTAGCCAGTCGTCTGGCATAGCGGCCGCAAGGCTATTGTCACCATTGATTTTGAAAATGATGGTGGGGAGAGAAACCCTGGGAATCACTGATGGTTGTGCCCCCTGAGTGTGTAGCTAGTCTACTGTCTTTGTCCGCTTTCTTTCTACATGGTCTACTTTCTCCCCCTCCAAAGGATGACTTGCTTTTGAGAATGAAACTGAACATCCAACAGAGAGAGCTGGAAGAGGAGGATTTGGTGAAATACTTAGAGTGTAGATGATGTCTTGACATGTCTCTCAAGCACATCTTCTCTCCTACTATCCATCACCCTGTTATCCATGCATTAACTCATTTTCTTACACATCCATATCCTCATCTCTCTCAAGAACCTATATCTCACGTAGTCCCTCGTCTCTGATCTTGCTCCCTTCCACAGATATCCATTCCTACTATTACAACTCCCTGCTTACAACTACCCCAAGACACTCTGTCTTTTATCTCTATTTATCCCATCATTAAATTCCCCAACTGCCTCCCCAAACCCTCTTCCCCAGGAATCCCACTCCTCCATCTTCCACATACAAGTATGCTTATCCAGAATTCACTCAAAGCCCACCTTTGCATGGAATTCTCCCCCCCCCCTTCCTCCCCACTTCTCCATTTTAATTTTTATTATTTCTATAGTTAACTTTTGGAAGAGGCATTATAACTTTTGTCCAATTATTTTGACAATTGGATTCTGTTAGGGCAAGCCTTTTAATTTGTATTAGTTTAATTTAATCTTCTGAGTGGATGATGGGGACAGAAATATTGAGTGTGGACTTTACAGTGATGTCACTATAATGCACTTAAAGTACAGGACATTGCTACTATTATTTTAACCATTTTAATACTGTTGGGGTCACTGGACATGATCCTAGGTAACTCGGGGGAGTGGAAGATCACAAGAATCGATGAAGTGCCCCCGCTCTAAGCCCAAGCACCCTAAAAGCATCCCCTTTTCCGCCACTTCCCCCCCGCAGGCATAACATTTCTCTGGCTCGCTAATAGCTGGGAACAGCAAGACAGACCTTGAGGCTGCCTAGTTACTATCAGTGGTATAGAAGAAGAATTCAGATGTGTCTCTGTAGAGGGGAGGAGGAGGATGTCCCAGCGTGAGAATCTTGCTACAGTTCACTATTTTCCTGCAAGTAAACAACCTGGGTATATAAGGAGGAAAAACTGCTTCCGTTGGTGTGCTTGATCTGAGATGTCTAGTCTCCTGGCACCTATTTGAACGTTCAAATAAACTTTTTTTGCTTCTCCACACGGGTGTGTTTATTGGAGTGCGCACACCCGGCACCGAACCCAACTGTTGCCTCCCTCGGGCACCATGTGCCGGCAACAGTTCTATACCTCATTTTTTCTTTTTACCTCCTTGATTGCTCACTGTACTAAAGCAAAACTTTCCTATTCTCTGTCCTTTCCCATAGTTTCACCAGTGATTGTGTAAGAGCCCTCTCCACTGTAGTTCCCATCTGTTGGAACAGTTGCCAAGTAGACCTCTGTCATTGATTCTCTATGCTTTTTAAATCTTCTCTTAAACAAAATAATTCCTCCCTTAGTCTACAGGTCTTGAATAGAACCTTTTTTGTTTATTTACCATACTATATCTTTCTATCAACATTCCCTGGATTGTATACAGTGTACTGCCTGCACATGAGTTTATCCAGTCAGGATTTGCACAACCTTCCATTAAAAGGGGATGACAGGAATGCAAACTAATTTTGCAGTATTTTAGGGATGCATTTATATAGTGTCTTCCAAACCAGGTGTAAATTCTGATCCTCTATCATTTGCTAGCATGAATAATCCCATTGATTTAAATGGGAGTACTTGTGCAAATAAAGATGTCTAACAGGAGGCCCTAAAATGGTATATTGTATCATTGTTTTCTTCGTGTTTTCTCCTTTTGGATGACTTTATTACTATCCTAGATCTGGGAAGTTAGCACTGGACACATTTTCTAAATATGGTAACAGTACAGTCATCTTACCGTGCGGTTTTGTCTCTGTGACCTAGATTCTAGGATTTTTAACGTACATTTTCTGTAGACATTAAGAACAAAGTGCAAGTGTAGCCATACCATGCCTCACTCTGCAGCCTGCAGCTGCTCCCCCTTCTGGCTAGACTGAGGCCTCCCTTCTCACCCGCCCCGGGAGGAGGTAGAGCCCGGGTCGGGTCGGGCTGGGCTGGCGGGGGGGGGGAGCTA